CGTGGGGCGCGTGGACCCGGAGTCGGGACCCTGGGGTGACCCTCCGGCTCTGCTGAGCCGCCGATGGGCCGAGCGTCCTCCCCCAGCCAGCAGCGGGATCTGGCTCAGGATTGCACCCGCATCGCCGGGAGATGAGCCGATCGTTCTGGAGGACCAAGTGGAGACGCGAGAGGGGCTCCGAGGCGCCGCGCTTCTGCAGGCCTTGGCAAGCTTTCTGCGCTTTACAGTTAGTTACTGGGGAGCGGGCAGTGTGGGTGTGAAGGGAGATGAAGCTTGGCCAAGCATCTTCTTTGAAAATCTGCCTGCAGGACGGTCTGGGTGTTTATATTGAGAGCCCTTGATTCTAGCAACTGAGAATGTCCCAAAATAACTAACCTAGAGAGCCTTGCTAGCCTGGTGTCCTGGCGCTAAGTTAAATATCAGAACTAAATCTAAGAACATGTATGGATTATGGATGAATAGTTAAAGCAACACAATTCTACACCTACTACACCCTCCTTTTCCCTGGGCATGCCCGCTTCCGCTGACCCTCCTTTTCTCGGGGCAAGCCCGCTTCCCCTGAGAAAGGGAGAGTCTCCTTCTAAAGCAGGTTACTTGTGAGGGAGGGACCCTGCTAAATCAGTTTTGAAAGAAGCAAACACAAAACTTGTGTACGAAAACGTCTAATGCAGTTCCTGAAATCTGAAAACCAGGTGAAAGTTTGGCTTTTCTTCTTAAAATTGAAGTTTGGTTCTGTTCATCTGCGCACTTATTTTATGCATCTTGCTCTCGAGATTTCTTTTTCCCCTGCAGAGGTTTCTTTTTTACCCATTTCATCACTGATTTTACCTTTTGTTTTATTGTAGTAAAAGAAATATTTAAATAAGTTATTATTTCAGCTGTAGTGGACAGTTCAATGACATTGAGGGAGCTCTTGTGACCTATTGATATGAAACTGTGCGGCAATCCCAAAGGCAAGCGGTTCGAATCTACCAGCTGCGTCTTGGGGGAAGAAGGATAGACAGTCTCCTTCCATGAGATTAATTGCCTCTAAAAACTATCTGGAGGGTCAGCTATGGGTCGGTTCAGACTCGATGGTATGCAACAACAGCATGTTGTGCTGCTTGGAGAGGTGGAGAATCAGTTAAGAGAAGACCTACAAGATGTACTGACACGTCGACCGTACCAAGCGGCTTCAAGTCTATCATAGGTGGTGAGGATGGCACCAGATAGGGCAGGGTGCAGATCTGTCATTCATAGGCTCGCTGTGAGTCGCAGTTGACTCAAAGTATATTCGCACAATGGAATACTATGCTGCATTAAAAAACAAGGAACTCATGCAATATTATTCAAAATGGTTGACTCTGGAGAACATTATGCTGAGTGAAATATCCCAGTCACAAAAGGACAAATATTACATGATGCCACTGTTGTAGAATGGGACTGTCCTTGGGGTTGGGGAGAGACTGAGTAAGATGGGTTCGATAATGTATACTGCACTGAAACAGAGGAGGGAGAAAACTGTTTAAAAGAGATATATAACTAGGTATTTCTGTCATCACAGGAGACTAGAGCGAGGGCTACATGGTGGAGGGGACCTGGGGGAGGGTTTGTAAAACAATGAAAGAATCTTTTCTTTTACTTTTCCATAATTTTTGGACTCATGTACTTATAACTTGTTAGTCAAATTTGGGTCTTCTAGGTTGCAACACCCCTATGATACATCTTCAAGGATATGAACATGTACGGCCAAGCACAATCAATAAGAGTGCATCTAAATTCCAAAATCAATCTCCATAATAGTCTATGTGTTTCCTACTGCCAAAGGGGCCCTTTAGAGTAGTGAGAGAAGATCTTCACCCTGAAACCCACAGCGTCCCTTTTCAGCAGGAAATAGCTAAGAGAATACGCCATCCCCTTTTCCTTATGACTCAGGGTGAAGTGTCTCTCAGGGAGGAGTGATAGGGAATGGCAAAGGACACACTGACAAAGAAGATTAATCAGAACTGGCTTTGACAAGCACTGTGGCATTTGGACAAGAACAAACTGGGAGGAGGGTAGAGAGAATAGTGCAACAATGAATGAATAGAAACCCAAAATCTCTGTAAATGTTTATGAAAATTAATAAAATATAGGAAAAAAAAGAAAGAAAAGATAATACATTAAGAATTAACAATGACTGAAAATCCAAGATCTCTGTAAATGTTCATTAAAATTAATAAAAAAAAAGGAAAAAAAAAAGTACCCAACAAAAACAGTGAAAATCTTGTGCTACGGTCACCCCAAACAGGACCTCCAACCCCATTAGCAGTAACTCAGGCTCCTTCTTCACCAAGTCCCTAACTCATGTTCCCTCTTCACCCAGCCCCTGGTAAGCCTTGTGTATATAGGCATTTTCCTACTCTAGATAGAATAGGGTTCAGATCTTTTGTTCATAAGGCCTCTATGAGTCTCGATGGCATTTAACAATTAACAACAAATATTCATAGAAGTGACATAAAATACCTGTTCTTTAGTGCCTACCTTCATTCACTCAGTATAATGCTATGACATTTATCAGATTTCATTCCTCTTTATAATATTCCATTGCATAAATGTACCATGTTATACTCATCGGCAGTTGATGGTCGCTGAGTTTATTTCAACTGTAATTAACTCCAAAATCACCTTAGAGCAACAGCTGGTTTTCTCTTTCTCTCTTTGCTTCTTTATTTTTTTTTTTCTGACTTATGAAAACCTGACACATACATATGTCTACCAGTTGCCCTCAAGTGATTTCCAGCTCATGGAAAGTCCGTGCATCCCAGAGTAGAACTGTGCTCCATTGGAATAGCCAAGATTATTTTTCCTGGTTAACTCTGTCTGGACTCAAACATTTTAACTAGCAGCTTAATGTTTGTGCCACTCAGAAACTGCTCTACATTAAATGTGTAGACTGAATTTTCCAAAGAGCTACTCCAGAACTAATCGCAGACCCACTAAGGTGTAAATGAATAACTTGCAATGGGAATCCAGTGTCAGATTCCTGGTTGTACAGGTAGGGAGGTAGCCTGAACTCAGAAGTCTTCTGTTGGCCTCAGAAAGCTCCATTTCACTTACAAATTTGTATTTATTAAAATTCAGGGCTTCGTCATCTCCCAAGAAGGATATGTGTAAACTTGCTCTCACTGGACTTAAAGTAGCAAATCTGTTCTCCACTGCTAGCTGCCAGCTCCCTGATGTCACCAGTTTCATTCTTGTCTTCATTCTGCCTTTGAGCAGATATTTGTGTTTTGCTTATTATGTGACATTCTTGAAAATGTGCATCATTTAAGGTTCAACAATCAGAATTATATCCTGGCTTTTAAGCTTCTACCAGAAAAAAAAAATCTATGTGAAAACTCCATTTCCGTTTAATTTCGTTGGCATGGCAACCACCAAAGCAACAGCCTGGAGAGTGCCTTAAATCCCACAGCAGTCTGTTAGTGATTCTGCAGGGAGGGGGCCATCTAGAGAGGTTAGAAATACACAACCTATGAGCTGGTGCATATCTGAGATCTTGAGGATGACGCAGGATAGGACAAGGTTCAGATCTGTTGTTCATAGGGTCACTATGAGTCCTATAGGGCAGCTAACAACAACAGCAATGGCAAAGGGGGCCTCCCAGTGTGGTGGATACAAGAGGATAGCCTACTTACTCTTCTATATTACAGTTAACAGGTTTGTCCAGTCTAGTGCCTGGCTTAGGAACAAGGAGACTCGAGTGTTTAATATCAGTTTTGGAAATAGCTGTGTGAATGTGGATTCAAGTAAAGTAGATTGACTATATCATGGACTGCTAGAAGAATGAACACGTTTGCCTTGTAGGGAGAACAGCCAGCATACTCCTTAGAAGAAAGGATGGTGAGACACTCTCGAAGACTCATTAGACATGTTGTCAGGATGGATTGGGCCCTGGAGAAGAACATCATGTGTGGTAGAGGGTTAATGACAAGAGGAAGAGCCCCCGTGAGAAGGATTGGCACAGTAACTGCAACAACAGGCTCACACATAGCAACAAGGTGAAGATGGTGCGGGATCAGACAGTCTATTGTATGTGGGGCCACTGTGTGTCCGAACCAAATTGACAGCACTTAACTATCTCTGAGCTTCAGTGGCTTCATTTTAAAAAGGCAAGACCTTAAATGGATTAAGGCCTTTCCAGTTTCACCATCCTATGGTATTACTGTTGTTGTTGTGGTTGTTGTGTGCTATCAAGTCATAGAATTGACCCATAGGTGGGTGTCTAGTGGGTTTTTAGAGGCATACATCACATGGGAGGAGGTTGCCTGTCTTTTGGATGGCAGTGAGACACTTTACCCACTAGGCTACCAGAGCCCTGTGATATTACTTGTTCAGTTAAGTGCCATTGGCATTTATTGCTAGTTAAACGGGGCCACCAGAAACAAAGGAAGATAGAGTGAATTGTGTTAGTGATAAAGTGTGTCAGGTGATTTGGCAAAAATCATTAGGTCATCCCTTGCTAGTAGTAACAGCTTACTAGTTAGTACTTACCATGTGCTCTAGATGATGCTATGTGATTCTCATACAGTGTGCCCCTTAACTTCCTAACAAGGCTAGGAAGAGCCTTTGGTAACACAGTAGTTAAAGGACTTGGCTGCTAACTGGAAAATTGGCTGTTCGAACCCACCAGTCAATCTGTGGGATGTGCATGTGACAGTCTACTTCTGTAAAGATATACAACTGTGACAACCCTAAGGGCAGTTCTGTTATGTTCCAGATGATTATTATTCCAATCACTTTGATAACAGTGGCTCTGATTCTTATTAGGGTATTACTAGTATCCCTACTTTTCTAGGCTAATAAACTGAGGCACAGAAATGTTAAATAAAACAGTAGACTTCCAGATACAGTAAATTCCACACCTAGG